TTTTGTCCCGCTGCTTTACAGGGTTCCTTCGGTTCATAGTGTCTTTAAGGTCCTGCCACAGCATGTCATTCAGATTGGTTTGCTTGTATATTTACTGTTGTGCTTGGGATCGTTGTCCTGCTGCGTGATCCAATTAAGGCAAAGCTTTAGCTGTCAGAAAGATGGACTCACATTTGGTTTTAGAACGCTTTAGTATATAGAGAAGGTGCCCAGGTCCTTTGGAGCCCTCCACCATCATGCGTGACACTTGGTAAGAGATGTTTGTGCTGAAATGCTGTTTAGTTCTCACCATACGTGATGCTGTACATTAAGGATAAACATCTCCACTTAGTTCTTTGGACAAACAGGAAGTAAAATGCTTTGTTTAGATCCAACTTTTCAAACCTAAGCTGTGCTGGCATATTCTTGGTTTGGTCACGTTTTCTTCAACTTTGAGTTTCTCTCCCGACTGTTTCCATCCTGCTGTGTCTGAGCCAACTGACTGACATGTTTCATTTCCACGTTCATAAAGCTGCTATTGAACCTCACAGCAGAAGGTTTGTTTTTATTAACACTTTATTACCAATTTAAGATTCGTTTTGTAGCACCGCTTTTCTCTCAATGCCCAATGGTTTGTCAGAATTGCTCTGAAGCAGATGGGAAGTCTTTTCGACGGCCTCTCCAAACTCACATGCTGGAATTCTTGTTTCAACCACCACCTGGGCTGCTTTAAGCTTGGCCTGCTGATACGTGTCAGCTGCTTCTGAGAGGCTACCCCTCTGCCAGGGGGTTCCCAGCACACCCCATGTTTAGGTGTGCTAAGCCTGTCCTGCATCCTCCCCTGCCTCCCCTTCCTTACCAAAGAGGTGATGTTGTATGTCCCAATAGCAGGGATTGGTCCATCAGTGCCCTTCCTTTAACCGCAATCAGACACACAATGCACCCAACCCTAACACCACCTCCTGCTGGTGGTGGGCCTACACTGCCCATGCAGCTTCTGCAGGCTGCACCTGGCCAGGCCCCATGGGCTAAAGCCAGAGGGCCAGGCACTCTCCGTTGCACTCCCTCCCCAGGCCTGGCTCCAGGGAGGACCCCGGTAACCCTTTCCCAAGCAGGGACACAGGTAAGTAAGTAAAGTGTATTTACATACACCAACCTGAAGACAGAAAAGCTCATAAAGTTTTGTTACTCGTGGGAGTCCATTGAATCACTCATTGTCTGCCCCCTCACCCAGGACCAATTTGTCTTGGGAGACCCTCGTCAACACAAACCCTTCTATCTAAATAAGTTAGCAATTCCCGAAGGAAAAAGTGGCGTTTTACTCACTGCAGGGTACTGCTGACATGAACTGGGGACATTGTTGGGCAGTGGAAGAAGTATTTTGAGGACCTCTTCACCACTAACACGTCTTCTGTAGAGGAGAAACAGTCTGAGGATGAGGAGAACAACTTGCTCATCTGTAGGGACGAGGTCACTGAGGCTGTTAATCTTCCTCTTGTGTTCCCCTTGTTGCATAAATCATGGTAATAGTCCTGCCACTAAACAGTGTATACTATATTTCTCTGAGTGTGCTGGGGACCCCATGCTTGGGGTGGACCAATTTGGGGGTTTGAAAGCCACAGAGAAAATGCGTCTCAGCTGTTCTGATACTCCTGACACATATGGGATCACTACAGGTTTTCTCTTAGGCAGCAGTTGTCCTTCTCTCCTGGATCAGCTGGAGCTTTCAGTCCAGCTGGGATAACCACATTTACTCAGGGCCTTCTTGATGTTCTTCTGCCTCCCTGGCTGCTGTGTCAGTGGGGATGATGTTCGCTCTGTGTTGTAGCGTCCTGATGACGCCCAGTTTGTGCTCCAATGGATGGCAACCTGATCCGCATGCATTGGTTTACGGTACACGTCGACTTTAAATGTCCCTCATTACTGATGGGAATTTCACAGGCTGTCCTCCCTGGTGAACTTGATGTGTTTGTCCACTGAGTTAATGTGATCAGGGAATTTCGGTACGTCCTGAGCTTTGATTAAAATGTCTTAAGGAGTGGAAAAGTTATTTTGAATTTAATGGCAGGAATATGCCAGACAGAGCCATGTTTACCAACGTAAACACTTTGGTGTACCTTCAGTTTTACATGTGCTATATAAGTAAAGTTGTATTGTAACGTGTGTCATCTTCTCTTCTTCAGCAGCTTATAAACATCTGGAAACTGAAGAGCCCAGTTGCTGGACTTTGTTGTAAAATGTGAGAATTTGTAGAATAAAACTTGAGAATGTGTCGTTTTTACACACTTGTGTTTTAAATTTACAGTTACAAAAAAAATATGAAAGTACTGAGGAAGACTCTTTGAAGGAAACTTTGCTCCCTGTGGTTGTCAGTCCAGCATGGTGGACTTCTTGGTCTTCTGCCTTCTGATTGGCTGACCTCCACTTCTCCAGTTCCTTGGACGTCCCCATTGTTCTGAGTACTGGAGAGTCAGACAGAGTGCTGTCACATGAGTAATGCTTATGTTGGCAAAGAGAAAGTACCAGTTATAATCAATTCCGATCATTAACGAGAAGGTAACGGTCTTGTAAAGTTAAAAGACACTGTAGACCTTTCAGCACGACCCTTTAAAAAAGTGAGTTTTTATGTATAATTTAGACCCTGTTCAAATTAAAGAAAGTCTAAAATAAATTCAAACTTGTGCACCCATTTCCTGTTTTTAATGTCATTAATAATGTATGCTGTACAATCTTTCCACCCTGGAAAAACACAAGAAACAAAGAAATCACTAGGTAGATTTGTTTTTGTCAAGTTTTAAATCAGCAAACAAATTTTACTATCAGACAGATAACCCAGGTAAGTACAAAAGGCAGTTTTAAAATTTCATTTATTTCATTTATTAATGGGGAAAAGCTGCACGTGCCTTGGTGTAAAAAAGTGATTGACCCCTGAACTTAATAACTGGTTGAGCCACTGTTGGCAGTCACAGCAGCACAGGAACAGCACAGGCACCTGAGAACTGTCCACCCATCAAATAAAACGCAGTCAGTTAAGTGTGATATTAATGAAGGTGCCAGTGTGTCTACTGTAACTGCTGCTGCTTCACCTACAGCATCATGCAGTACACACCACAAGCACCTAACCAACCCAGAGCTCTATGAGACAGTTTTTGCAGAAGTCTGTGACCCAGCAAGACAGAACTCAAGTGATGAAGAACTGGCAAAAATGACTGCACTTAATTTCCAACCATTTTCAGTTGTGGATGATAAAGTTTTCAGGAAGTTTATTCATGCACTGAATCCTATTTTATATTGTTGTTGATAATAAATTAATTAAAGCAACAAAACAACCTGAAGTGCCGCTCGGGAGCCGAAAGAGCCGGCTCTTTTTAGTGACTCGAGCCAAAAGAGTATGTTCTCTAAAAAGAGCCGGAAATCCCATCAATTGTTAGGGATGTTTTTTGGTAAATCTCAGATGAGCTGTGTGTTCTTTCCGGTTCTTGCTTCAGTAATAACATCCGAAACAAAATAATAACCGCTCATATCTACTCTTACTTTTATTGCTAACGTTAATATCTTACACCTGCCACTGACGTTACTCTGGCAAAATCTCGTAGATGGCGACATTAAGTCTTTAACACTTCAGCACAACTTCAAATGTGTTTTTACGACCGAGCGTAGACGTCAAGAACGGAAAGACGGTTCTTGAAGGTTCGCTGGTGTTCAGATTAAAGGTGCAGTAACGGGACAGCCTGTGCGTGCATGTGAAACGCATGACACAGCATCAGTCTCCTGCAGGGGCAGAACACACCCGAATACACCCCGCTGCAGTCTGCAGAGCATCCGCACTCACGGCAGGCTTGGCGCTCTCCTACAGCTGCTCAGTATATTCTGGAAAAACGCGACACAGCTCAGGTAAGATCACTGCAGTCATCGGTGTTTGGTTATGGTCACTGCGGGTTTTTTATTTTTCTCATTTTGTTTGTTTGTTCTTCCCTTTTTTTTCTTTCTTCGTCTTTATAAATATATAGATATATGTACATCAGTGTGAGTTAAATACTGTGATGTGTGGGAATGTCCACAAAACTCGGCAGTGTGATGTTATTCTCATGTTGTGGTGCAGCGCAGCTCTGCTTTATTTTTAACTGCAGAAACATCAGCATCAGCATCTCTATAGGCGACACATACGTTCATACATCCGTGTGCTTTTCGCTGCGCAGTCAATAATTTAAAGGCTCGATCTGGAAAATGAGTCAGCACATGAATCGTTGCGATAATCGCAGATTTGCAGTCCGCCAGTAGCTGCATCGCTCCTTTGCTGATCCATCAGTGTTATTACTGCTAAAAGTCGAGCCTGTGACCTTGACAGAGACAGTCTGGAGACATTTTAGTTTTATACAGAGGACAGGTTCACTGATCTTATAGTGGAAACAGCAAAGACTTGATGTACCCTAAATTTACTAATACAGTAATCGGAGAGTTTCAGTTTTGCAGTACTTTGCAGGACCTGATTGTGTTTACAGTCCCTGAGCAGCCAGTAGGTGGATGCACATCACCTCCAACTAGCAGACATGAGGTCAGGATACAAGGCAAACAAAAAGAACATGGAGTCCACAGTGACAGAGGCGAGAACAT